GCTGCTTTGCTTTTCAACTGACAGTCTGCCAACTGACAGCTGTCGAATGTGCACAAGGCAACCTACAAACACCCTCAACAGGTCAGCGTGCATTCATGTTTGCAGTGCACTTTGACAGTAAGCATGTGGTAGGTCATTCGCCAAGTAAGACTCCACATTTGGGTAGCTATAGATGCGCACCTGTGAAGGACTAAAAAAAGAAGAAAAAACTATAATGTAAAAATACCAACATATCACCATGGTGGGGTAGATTGCAATCGAGTGATTGATGTGCCTATTTGGCCTGCTGCCCTGGTGTTAACTGTTTCTAGACAGCTTCATGTTGTCCGTTTGTGGTTCTTGTGGCACAAACCTATGCATGTTTAGACAGACAGAAATCCTACAATTCCCAGCATTCCCTGGCTTATATGGCTGGTTGGGAGTGCTCATGTCAGGTGCCAGGCTTTTTCTGTCTAAAGATGCACGGGGCTGTACTCTGTCTTGTTATTTCCAGGCAGCTAGCGTGGCTTCACTTGCATTCACAGATGCTCTCTGTTTTAGAGCAGCTGCACAGACAGACTATTAAAAGCCCGATAGCTGATTCTTGCTAAAAGTACACAGTTTTACCATGAGTGGCAAGGTAATTGTGGTGTGCGCAGCTTATGAGGAAAGCAGAGTTGATGTGGCGAACTACACTGAGGCAAGGCAGCCAGCTGATGCTGCTGGGAGAATGTTTTTCTCGGCTTGACATCTGAATCCCGAGGCTGAAATCCAAACCAAAGGGTGAAGCAGGGAGGGGGAATGTGGGAGGGTGCTTGTTTCCCTGTCAGATGACAGACGGCACACACCAAAGCATTTGTTTCATTTTGTTGAATGCTAGCATCCAGCTGGAAGGTTGACAGTAAGCCATATCATGAGCTCCTCGTGCAATTGCTAGAATACATGAGCATTTTGAAATGTATCCCCATCCTGCACCTATCAGCGATTCCACGGACGAAATAACGCTATTAGAAAATCTACTTGCACAATTTACAGCCCAGCTCAGTTCAACAGGTTTTATTCTCAGCAGAACTCAGATCCTGAGGGACTGCAAGCTTCAACTGTTTATTGTTACCTACAGTATTATTAAGGACATCACCACAGATGGATTAATCCCAAGTGATCCAAACTGCAACACATCTGCGGCATTATGCAACGCACACAAATGCCTTGTATGTGGCAGGCTCATGTGGAATCCTGCACAGACGTACCCAATGCAATGTCATGAGGAAATCAGTCCCACAGAGTTCATAGGGGCAGATCCTCATGGGCTGTGCTGTAAAAAGCTCCACATGCAACCTCTGCATAGCTCACAGACTCAACTACATGGGCACATCGTATTATTATCATTGTTTTGAAGTCTGCAGGCCGCACATTACCTATGAGTTCACCTGGGATGAGAAATGAACAGTTGTCAAGGCAAACACACACTTATGCAGCTCAGCTGTATTATTTTCCAAAAAGAGGAGTGCCACAAAACTATGCCCTTGGAACAAGGCCAGCCTGACGTCAGAGGCAAGATAATCAACAGTTTGGGTATTTGTTTCAGCTATGCAAATGCCTAGCACAAAAAGATACACAAAGGGAATTCAGAGTGATATTCAGTTGGGGAATATCTCTTACATTCCAGAGGATGCAATGAGTTAGTCTAGACTAGTATCAGTCGAGATTGGGGGTACTATTTCTCGTGGATTAATTGGTAAAAAGATCAGTTGTCTGACCGTTAAGTTACTGAACTACAATGAGAAAATAAAGTGCTGTTGTTAAGATCAAACATGGCTTGGAGGGAGGCTGCAGGAGCACCTGTTTTTGAGGGCAGCCTGCACACCCTGGGGCAGCTTCCTTTTGTACCAGAAACTCTGTCCCCAGTCAGAGAGGTTTAGAAACAGTGGAATGAAGGCTGGACAAACCAGCTTCTAATCTCCACTTATTCATGAAGTGCATTGGGTGACTCTGTGCTAGTCACTCTTTCCAAACCCAGCCTACCTGATGGGATTGTTACTGTGATGGTCAAATGGGGGGAAAGGACCACAAGCTCTTTGTGGGGACGTTGGGATCAACACAAATACTGTCAGGAAGGTGTCCTACAGATGCTCTGAAGTACATTTAAATTTGCGAAAGGCTGAGGCAGGTGTTTGGATTTAAGCAGTAAAACTTGTAATGTAATTATATTTATCCTTTGTTTGTGATGAACAACTATAAATTTCTGGTATTATTTTGCTCAGTGCAATTTCTTACTCAAAAACCAGATGCCCTGCTTTCTGGAAATCAATGGCTACTTCTAAAAGTTAGCATAACTCTGAGCGTTATTACTATCCTTTTGTTTTGGTGGGGGGCATGCAACAAAGAAACACATTGTCTCTACTATGGTAGTGTAATTGCAATGCACTTCTGTGGCTGTACCTTGCCACATAGAAGTGGGGGGGGGGGCTTTATGAGCAAGCAAGCCATTTTGTCAAGCAGTCCTACACCTCTCCAGCCATTAAAAACTTCATATGGTCTCTATGGGCAATGTTTTCCTTATGGGATGTCAATGAAACCTCTTGGCGGTTGGGCCCAGATTGTCAGGCATTTTCAGTAAGTTCTGGAGCTCACACTGTCATGGCCTATTTAATGGCCACCATTTCTTCCCAGGAATAATTGAGAATTTTAGGGAAGACGTAAGAAAACTGTTCTGAATTCTCTTCACAGTCAAAGATTTCTCATCACCATAAGAAAATTCTCATCACCCTATTTGTCTCAGCACTCATTGTGAGGGAAATCATGATATCTAAAGTAGTAGAAAGCCAATGTGTGCCTGCAGTGTTTATAATTAAGAAATCACTTCTGCTTCTTCCATGAGAACTTCTTCAAATCATCTCTGCAAAGAACCAGTGCATCCTACTTAAAGCAGACCCTCTACAATGAATGAGGCTTAACCTAGACTAACATTGGAGTCATCCCATTAGATATAGCTAAAGCTTTTAGTTACTCTGTAGTTGGAGGAACATTTCCATTAATCAAATTAATATCCTAGACTGCAATCCTAAGTCTTTTGGCTTGTAAACCCCACAGCACTCAGTGGAATTTGCATCTGAGTAGACACAAGTAGGATTGTACTCTCAGGAAGCAATCCTAAGCATGTTTAGACAGAAATTTGTTCTTGGCTAGTAGAGAGATGCAGGGAAATGTAGGATTTATTTCTGTCTAAATATGCATAGTTCTGTGCCCTTAATGTATTTTGGGGAAGAAAATATATATTTTCCATTTCATACTGTAATTGCCACAATCAACACAGCTTGTGCTCATCATTTTATTATTGACCCACCCATGGGATACAGTGAATCAGTGGGAAGTCTGGTGTCGAAAATCAATTTTGGTACATGACACATGCCTGGTGAGTCAATCCTTATTAATGATGTAAGGACTATACAGGGCTTTAGGGTTTTTGTTGTTGTCATTGGTTTTTATTACTCCTTACATTTTACACACAAAAATTCAAACTTTTCCTGAACACACATTGCCCTTTAAGACTGTCAAAATGTATAAACCTTGGCTCAGTTAAAATAGACATGCCATTTTTCCATGGGACTCTTAAGATAAACACCTCCTAATCCAAACAGCAACATCTGAGTTCAATCAGAGACAAATGTTTAATAGGTTCAGGACTGAATTGAATGAACAACAACCTTCTTTTTATCTACATTGCTCTATACACACCCAAGCAAATCAGTGCATGGAAAATGACAGAAATATATGTGTATGCCTATCAGGACCCACATATCTGATAGACTGATTGCTCTCACTCAGTAAACAGTGATTTTCCACAGATTTTGGCTAGTGTGCTAGTTAACAAGAAGCCCTTTGGAGAGTTATTCCATTTCCTTAAGGGCAGAAAGTTTTTTCCACTGTCATAATATTATATTTCATGGCCATCCGATGAAATTGAATGGTGGTATAATCTGCAAAGTCCTTCTTCGCTCAGTGTTTTATCAAACTATGGAATTCATTTCTACAAAATGTAAGGACAGCCACTGATTTGGATGGCTTTAAAAGGGGATTAAACAAATTCATGGAGGAGAATCCTACCACTGGCTTGTAGTCATGATAGCTATATGCAAAAGAAGAAAAGGAAGGCCAAATAAATGACGGATTGACTTCATAAAGGAAGTCACAGCTTTGAAATTAGAACAGTTAAGCAGGAATGTTCTGGACAGGCCATTCTGGGGGGCTTTTATTTATAGAGTTTCTGTAAGTCAGAGATGGCTTGATAGCACGTAACAACAACATAGCTCCAGTAGCAGAGGCAGAATGGCTTTGTATAGGCATAGTTGGGAAACCATAAGCAGAAGGGTTTTGTTGTACCCATGTCCTGCTTGTGGACTTCCTGCAGGCATCTGGTGGGGAAAAGAATGCTGAACTAGCTAGGCCTTTGTCTGATCCGGCACTGATTCTAGACTTGTTTCTCTGTTGCTCCAAAGGGCAGTAGTGAACAGAAAGTGCTGAACTTGCATATCTGGCTAAACTTTGGGAGAAACTGCCTAATAGCTGCTTGGAAGTGGAATAGACTGCCTCACAAAGTGGTTCTCCTTCTCTGGAGGTGGTTCTCCTTCTCTGAATTACATGCAAGGCCAGTCCTACCTTAAGGCAGAGTGTATCAACTACCCTAGGCAGCAGTTGTTGGAGGAAGGACTTGAACTCTCCCTTCCTCTGTTGGAGGACCAAGTCACATGGCCTGTCCTCATCCCCTAAACTGGCCTGCAGCCCTCAGGTGTGGTGAAAGATACTGTCCTATCATCTGTATTTAGGTAGGATTCAACAGGCAGCTCAGGCATCTTCTGCCTATGGAATGATGAAGGGGCACTTTCTTATTCCTTGCTTCAGACATTAACAGTTCTTGGTCTAAGCCTGTCTGGATGATCTCCAAGGTTCTGCCATTAAAAACAAACAAACAAATCAGGCCTACACATCCACATTTCCATGGAGACACCATCTTTGAGTACCTGAGCAAAAGCTGTTGCTGCTGATTGTCCTTGTGGACCCTCCAGAGGAGCAGAGGGGGTTGAATTCTCTACTTTCCTCTTCAGAGAAGGGAGACTCAGATGCTGGGGACACTTTCTGATGATGTAAGTGCTGCTGGGGGAGATGGGGCCGGAGGACCAGGCGCGGAATACGGCTGCGGCAAATTTCCTTGTCTTGCATCTTGTGCTCCTTTCAATGACAGTGAGAAAAGATGTGTCATTGCTATGCCTCACCAAAGACACAGCTTAAAATTTGACATCAGAAGAGTGGTCACCACCCCAAAGTGCTTCTACATGGACAGAGCATCAGTGGCATTCCACTGATAAGAGTGAAAGGTGTGCTTTGGCAACAATGAATGGGATCCATCCACTCCACACCCTCACTGGCAGTTGGGAAATGGAGAAAAGTAGTAGCTCAGTGGAAGAACACATAGATAGAAGGTTTTACACTTCATCTTCAGATAGGGCTGAGGAAAATCCCTGCCTAAAACTCTAAAGAGCTGCTGCCATTGTAGACCATTGTGAGCTTGATGGACTGATGGTCTGGTACAGCTAAGGAAGCTTCCTTCTTCCTATCAGAGTATATCTTCAGCCAATGTTCAAGATTTTCAGAGCAGGGCTCACTTCCATGAACCACAGAATGTTGCCACTTGATATCTCTGAGGTAGGCCTTCTTGGTGGTGGTGCCCACCCCCTGGAAAGCCCTCCCCCATGCAGTTTGGAAGGCAGAAAATATGGAAGGTTTCAAATGCCTCCTTGAAAACACACTTGTTCATCCAGGCCTTTTCTGGCTTGTAATCAATGGTGTGTCAACACATACTGTTCTTTGTACTGATTTGCACTTTTGCAGTAGTTGGATTTGTTTTTAATAATGCATTCCAGATGTGATTTTAATATTCACAGGTGAGCCAGTTAGAAACATTATTATATTAAATTGCACATAATTATTACTATTGCACATGTGCACACGTAACATAACAAAGTAGTGTGGAGACCTGCCCATGCAGAAATCATTTTCAGTGGCTTCCACTACTCATTTCACTTTGGGCAACCACATAACTGAAATGTGTGAATGTGTCAGCCCTGAAAAAGAAACATCAATATAACAAATATGTTTTTGCCTTTTCAAGCCTGGTGATCTGTAGATGTGTTGGACTGAAACCCCTAACTTTCTAGCCAGAATGCCCACTGAATAGGAATTCTGAGAACCGGAATTCAAAATACCTGGAGACCACAATGTTGGTACAGGTTGACATGTTGGGAAGCTGAGTTTGGCTGCTGTATTTACTGGAAGAAAAGTTTCAAAATCTATACAGTGGGCATCTACCGAATTAGCTTTAATTAGGTTGACAAACAGATCACAAAAAACATGCAAGCTTTGGTGATCCCCAGATCTTCTCTTCAGGTTATCCAGCTATGCTGACTACAACATCTTATCAACCTCCCCTGCCCCACTCCAGTTCTCCCCCACCACCAACCTGCTGTTGAGGACATCAAAAAGATTTTGAAAGCTTTCTCATTTCTGTGGTGCTTCCCATTGTCCCACTATAGGTTATAAATAGCTATCAAGTGCAGACTCCAAGGCAAATCAATCATAATGCACTAACAGGGGTAATTCAATGATCTGCGAATGTATTTCCTCCACTTCTTTTTAACCCTTCTGTAATAGTCCTATTCCTGCCCACCCCTCAAGCCCCCCAGCTGCTAGCTCAATATAATATGCACACTTAATGGATGTGAATTAGCTTCCATCTCTTGGGAGAAAAAGTCCATTTAGAGGTATACCCCAGTGCTGGAGAGACAGATATACCAACATCAAAATTAAACATGACGGTTTTCTAAACTGGATGTTTATGGAGCTCCGGGAACAATCGAGTAACAACCATGCATTGATTGTTCTAAAATTGGACCAGCTGGAATGGCTCCTGGAGGCAATTATCACAGCCATCATCAGCATTGCCACCACCTGCACTGTCCCTACAAGCCTCCCCACTTGGATTCAGCTACAGGCGACAAGAGTGGGAAGATCCAGACGAAGGGGGATTCTGAGCAGCCTTCTCTGCTCCGAGCTGACGTAATTCTTGAGCTTGGTCCCCCACCCTGCCCTGGAGAGGGAGATCTGCAGCAGGGGCAGAGCAGCAGGAATGATGTCAGACTCTTCAGGCACCAAGGCAGGATGCTCCTCTGTTGCCAGGAATGGCCAGGAGGACCAACAGCCGTTGCAGTGGGGTGGGGGCAATGACACCATTCCCTTGGGCAGCGTAAGATGCACACCCGCAGATGGATCGCCTCTCAGCCCAGTCTGTGCCTGCACACACGGCCAACCCATAGATCTCCACCCGAGACACACACCCTGATACCCACGTAGGATGGGGATGTCAGCTTGCAGAATCTGCAGTCTGGGCTGATTCTCGCTTCTGCGGTTTCTTTTCTAGCCTTTCTGCCGCTTCTCTAGCTTCTTTTCTAGCTTCCGTCGCTGCTTTTGCGAGCGGTGTTTCCAGGGCCGGGAAGGAGGCGCATAAGATCCACTTCAGCACCTTCCTATGATGTCCCTGGTGCAAAAACCGGGAGCAGGGCAGGATAGGGCAGGGCAGGGTAGGGCTAGATCTTGCCACGGCTCAACACCACACGGAAAGACACACGTCCAAGGCGCGCACCGGGCAGCGCAGACAGACAAGGCGAGGCGTGCACGCGCACCTCTTTCAGGAGGGAGCCCGTGCGCCTGCCACGCGTGTGTCGGACAGGCACGCTGCGTCTGCGATGGAGATCTCCGCGGACCCTACGCCAGCCTTCCCTGATCCGGACGCGCTGGGCTAGCTCTCCCAGTCCGCGGTGGAGATGGGAGTTGTAGTCCAACGGGTTGCGGGGAGGAAGGCGCTGCCGCGCCACCTCTCCCATCCCAAGCTTCGCTCCGTGCCCAAACCTGCCTGAGAGGCAGCCCCGCTACCCGCACCGCGCCCGCATCGCCCCCTCACCTTGGTGCTTTCCCTGAGGGGGCCCATCGCGCGCCTCGCCCCGGCCGAGGCTGCTGCGAAGGCGCTAGAGGGGCGGCAGCGCTCTCCCCGTGCCGCCGCCGCCGCCGCTTCTGCCTGCCGCCTGCCGCCCGCTGCTGGCGCTCCGCAGCCCCAGCCCTGCCTGGCCCCGCCGCGCTCGCCCCGCCCTGACACGTGGAGATGCCGCCGCCGCCGCCGCCGCCGGCTGCCCGCCCGCCCGCCCGCCCGCCTGGCCCAGCCCGCCCGCCGCCGCCGCCGCCGCCGCCGCTCCAGGAGAGAAGCCGAAGGGCGGCTGCGGGGTGGCGCTTCTTGGGCTTTTGGCCGGCGGGCGCTTGCTTCGGAAGCGAGGCTGGGACGCAACGCGCACAGCAACCCCAGAGCTTAGAATGGATGGGGCGGACTCGAGCAAGAGGGGCGCATCCCGCCCGCAGAAGGCAAAAAGTTCGAGGGGACTCCCGCACAGTACAGGGGGGAGGGGGTTCATCTGGTATGCGGGTCCCCGAGAGACACAATGGCACACTGTTTTGTAATTACTTGGCTGGGAAAAAGCAGGGGGTGTGGCAGCAGCCTCGCAGCTCGCGCGTGGCTACAGGTCCAGGTTAACTTGCCCTCTCCCCGCCCCTGCTGCCAAGATGCCCTACTGGGGAAACCTACGAGAGGTTACCTGGGAAGGATGCTTCCTGCGCTGTAGTTGCTCCTGCACTGAGCAAGGAGGCTGGACTCCTCAGCTAAGTAATGCTAAATAGCTGCGCTATTTTCTAGTGTAATATTCTGTTGTTTCAACAGTGCTCTGCCTTTGTTTCAAGAGGGTGGGCAATTCTTCACTCTCCCCTGTTTTGCACTCCTAACAACAGCCTATGAGACTGGGAAAGAGGGACTAAGCCCGAAGTTGACCAGTGGGCTTCCTAGCTGAGTGGGGAATTTGAACCCAAGGTTCCTAAAGGCCAGAATAAGTCTCTTAACTTAGTCTTCCCAATTGGTTGGGAGTACAGTTCCCCATCAGCCAGTGGCTGTGCTTGTTGGGGATGAAGAGGGCTCTAGTCCAAGGAGTCTGGAGGGAGCCAGGTTTTGGGGGTGGGCTTACCAGTACACCACACTGCTTGCACTTGGACATACATTTTCTAGGAAGCTGTCCAGAGAAGTAAATCTGTCACTCAGCTCTAACTTGCAGCAAAAGCACCACCAGGTGCTGTGACACTTTATATTTATGTTGGTGTCAGCTGTCCTGGACCAGGAGCTCCTCTGTCACATGCATGGAATGGTAAGCTCAGTGGGGAGGCATCTATGTGTTTACTGTTTATTGAAATGACAGAGGAAAGGAAATCCAGGAGCCAGGAAATCTTCAAAGAGGAGGCTTGCTGCTTTTGATATCTGGTCTTTTCCCGCCCGCTAAAAGCTTTGCTGCTAGGGAAGGCCAGATATTATAGATACAGAGTTGATTTTGAACCGAAAACCTGGTCCTATATCATTGTTATCTTCGTAAATTTTCTGACTCCCCCAGGTTTGCCAATTGTTTTTGCTGGGGGGAAATTATTGGGCCATCCTTGCAGGGCTAGGAGTATATATAGACCAGTCTTCTCCAGATGCTTTGGACTTCAGCTTCGAACATTCCTGCCTAGGGATGTAGAGATTTGTTCAGTTCGTTCTGTCTGCATTTCATGGATTGTCAGGTGCCATCCTCACTTGCTGATGGAACTGGAGTTTGCTCAAATGTGTTCAAACACATTTGATTAAATTCATACCTGAAAAAATGGGCAAATCTCTCCACTGCACATTTTCATCCTTTAGCCTATGGCGGTGCACATTTTTCATTAATGTTTTTATTTTTCATTTTTACTGACTTAATTTGCGTAACATTACAGAAAATTAAAATGCACATACAGTCGAATGTTGCAGGCAGAAGGAGGCAGTCGGAGTGAATTTTCTCAACTTTGTCCGCCTGGGTATATGGTGCAGCTCCCAACACTGGCCTGGCAGCTAGGAAGAAACATCAATATAATCTGGAGAGAGTCCATTCCTGCCTCAAGGGAGTAGCTTAGCTGAATGCTGGGTTTCAGGGTCTGTACCTGGTGCTGGGCCAAAGAGACAGCTCAGGTGTAGCAGCTACCCCAGTACTTGGGGTGAACCTGGTGAACCATGGATTGATGGTGGCTTTTTCCTTCTGCAGGATTGGTGAGCCCTCCAAATTGGTTTGTCCGTGAAGAATTATAGAAGTATTATCTGATTAATTTCTGAATGCTCTAGGATTTTTTTTGGTGGCCAGATCTAGTATTTCTGTCAAAACTTGGTCTCACTGTGGAACTGTGAGTTGACAAGAGCTGTTGAGATTTTATTTTGCCCTGATTCCAGATGAAAAAAGTCTTCTAGAGCAGCTTGCAAAGATCACTAAGAGTCTGATGCAGTTCATGGTTGCTTATCATGGGGCACGTGCAGACTCCATTTTGAAAATGCAGCTTCCAGTCGGGGGTTGCAGCATGCCAAGTCAACTATTGTGGATTACTTGAGAGTTAAGCAAACTATACTCAATCCCCAATTAGTAGTTGAGCTAAATATGGGTTGTTTAACCCTTGATTAACCCATAATTGCCAGGATCACATTCTGTAGCCCCTGAGTTCTCTAGCTGGATGTCATATGGTCAAAATGGCAGCTACATCCCTTGGGGCTAATTATGGATTAGTTAATGGTTGACTGGCCTGATCTTTCTCTTCAGCCATCTTTTTTTTTTTTTTTGATTTACAATTCAAAGGATATAGGAAGAAAATATAAGGGATAGGAATGGGAGGATGTGGGGAGACCAAATTCAGGCACTCAATCTCAGTTACCAAGTCCAGCAGGCAGCAATTTAGCATGTCATGTAGCATAATGACAGGGCTATGGTTTTCTCTTGGCAGTGGCAATGGACAGCTACAGTCTTGGTTTGAGAAGTAGGGCTGCCTCTCAGATTTCCTCGGAAGAAAGGTGGGTTATGATTTACTAGACTGTTCTTGTTGTGTTTATATCCCATATTTTATTTTTTGCAAGCATCCCATGATGGCTCATATGGTCCTCCTTTCTATTCTGTCCTCACCACAACCCTGCATGGTGGGTTAGGCTGAGAGTCAGTCCCTGGTCCAAAGTCATGCAGTGGGCTTCATGGTTCTGAGGAGTCCAGAAGCCAGGTCTGGATAAATGTGTGTGTGGGGGGAGGGGGGGCACGCATGCACAGCAATCTCAGGCATTTATTTATTTATTGGAAATACTAATATCTTGCCTTTTCATCATGGTCATTCCCAGTGAACTAACAACCATAAACAAGTAACCCCCACCCCCCGACTCAGAAACTCAGCACTTCTAAGTATCAATTCATCAAATTTAGAACTGTTCCAACAGCAACTGTTTTCAAAGGTTGGCAGAGGAACAAAAAGCTGCCTTAGGCAAAGTAAGGCTGTCCGTCCATTTAGCTCAGTAATGTCAACAACAATGGCCCATGGCTGTCCAGAGTGTCAGGCATGATCCTTCCAAGCCTTACCTGAGTCCCAGCGATTGGACTTGGGACATTCTCTGTGGAAATTATATGCTCTGCCACTAAGCGATAGATCCTCCCTAAAGAGGGAGCCTAGTGAATGGGGAGAGTTTTCCAAAGGCCAGGTGCCACAGTGGAAAAGGCCCTGTTTCTGGTTACCACCTATTTCATTTCAGAAGGTGTAGGACCTTGAGAGGGTCCTCTGAGACTACTGTACACACATTTGGCAGAGTCCCATGTGATGACTTTGGGCATGACTCCTGGCTCATGCATTAACTACGCAGACCATGATTCCTGAGCTGCTGGACAGTATCTTGGTCTTGCTAGTAAGGCAGAGCCATATGGTACAGCTGGTAGCCTTGCTAGCAAAGATCCACATGGAAGTGCAGTTCATATGAACTAGCACAATACATGTTTACAAAGGGACCACTGGTGCCACATGGAAGTGATCTTTCACACAGTCACCACACAGCACCTGTTAGTGGACATAAGCACTTTGCAGGTGGTTTAGATTTCTTAGATTCCTTGCTCCACAAAATTAAAAAAGACTTAAGCTGACCTACCACAAAATTAAAACGTATGCAATTGTAAACAATGAAAACAATTCTCTGAGATACCATGAGCACATAAAACAGGTGTGGAAACTCTTTCAGCTCAAGTCCTCTGGGGCCCCATTGCAGTAGTGCAACGCACCAAAGCAAACAGAACAGGACCAAAATACCAACAAATATCTGCATACTTTAGCTTCAAGCTCTTCATGCCAGTAATTGAGCCTTAGGAGTAGCATCACAACCTTTCAGAGTAGGAGAAAAACTACACACACCCTGGGAAACCACAAAACAACCAGTGGTTGGGGAATGGGGCATGGCCTCATGAGAACCCTAGAGGCCTGGATTGTGCCACAGGCCTGCAAGTCTTCCCTAAAAGCACTAAAACACACGCAGCAACAATAAACAATTTGACTCATACCTTTAAGGGTCAATTCAGTGCCATCAAATGCCTGGGAAAAACATGTCTTTCTGAGTCATACCATGAAAAGGAACTGGGTCATTGATGTACCAGCAAATGCATGAGTTCCAAGGAAGAAAGATGACACT